TCGCACGCAGCAACTGCTTCAGTTGAAACATCTCTTTGGGTGATTGATTCCAAAAAACGCGACACGCTGCTGCCTCAGCTCATGGGCCTTCATGGCCCTCCAAAGTTTTTTTTTCTTAAGGGCCTCTCATTACTCTATTCGTCTCTCCCAAATTTTATTTCATTAATATTAAAGTATTTAATTGAAAATTAAAATATATCTGATTTCCAAAATTAAGAAAGTAGACTAGTGATTTGTTGATTATTGAAATACTTGAAAAATTTATAAACAACGGAAAACGTGCGTAGGAAGGTAAGAGGAGCCTTATAATTACACTTGATTCCCACAAACAAAAAGTTCAAAGATCTTTTATTCATCAAATCAATTGGGGAAAGTGCCTAAACGAAGGTTCCAAAACAACAACAACTTGCCATCATGACTTGACGGTACTGATCAGAACCGTTTTGAAGGCAAGGGCACTGAAGAAAGGAAGTGAGAGAATAATGTGAGAGATTGCGCCGGAGCAAAGGACGGAACCTGGTGACCGGCTCCTCTCACCGTCACAAACGTTAGTCCTCCGGCATAAGTCTCAACCCATCCAGCCACTTGACTCTTGTGGAACCATGACCTCCACGGTAACTCAACCTTAAGTCCCATCTTTTTTATGCTATAGCGTGTAGATGTTACCGGAACTCTCCCATCCGTATCTCCGCTATAACCAACATTGAACCAATCAGGATAAAATTAAAATGGTAAACGATATTCTTACATATTTTCAGATTTTCTCTCTTTTATGTCAATTTTTTAACAGTAAAAGAAAGATATATATAGATACCTATAGATCCAGATGCGGAGGCCGCCCGTTGAAAGCTTTTGTATGGTGGGAATTATGGTGGATGGAGCATCATTCCATCTCTTTATTACTCCGCTGAATCACACCCACATGATATATACTTTGTTCATTAGAAACATGACCAAATTAAATTTAAACTTACATATAAAGTAACACAACAAATTAAAGTCGATCTCTATACCCATTAATGTTGGTTAGTACTAACCTAACCTAAGTAGGACTAACCTGCAAGGAGAGTACGGATAAGGAAGGTTTGTGACATTCGCATGGAGTGCAACCTGCACATCTTTCCGGTTAAAATAATTTTCGGCATAACCTTCAGTGCATGGATCGTACCCGGCCGGAAACTTGACCCACATGTCCTAAACCAGCAAAAGAGAAGAATTTGTAAGAAAAAGTAAGAAGAAAGATGATGGTTACATTATGTATAATGATACAATATTGAATTGTAGATTACGTACGTCAAAAGTAAGGAGACGAGGAGACACGACAATTTTAGGTTTCCTTGGAGAAGATGAGGACAAAGAGGAGAGGCAAACGGGAGTGTAGATGCTGTATATATCGATATCGTTGTAAGCATCCATGAACCCTTTGAAATTGTTGTAGCATTGTTCGGTCTTGTTGGTGGTATCTTCCTCAAAACGGCACGAGCCATGGATGTTGGTGTGGACCTCGTCCGATATTATAGCGTGGCTCCATGCGTAGTCCACTAGTCCTGCCATGTCTGTTGCCTCATTGATCACCGCATTCCCTATCTGCAACGCAGCACCAAACGAATACGTTTTAATTTATGTTTACTTAAATCTCAAGAATCGTTGCTTCAAGTAACCTAATTAACTACTACTACATAGTGCGTACCATGAAACCCTTGAGATTAATGCGAGAGTCTTTTGTCTTCTTGTTCCTGTCGTAAATTACCTCCGCAAGCTGAGGAACATAGTGACCTGAGTAAAGAAGATCGAAAGCTTGTGATTCAATCTTTGTTTTATATATATACTGATATACAAATACAGATTGGAGTGTCTAGTTCGGCTAAATCCGCGAACACTTACCGGCGTAACTCTCTCCGGAGATGTAGAACTCGTTAGATCGGAACTCGGGGAATTTCATGAACCAGTTAATCAAGAAAGCAAGAGAGTCCGCTGCGGTAACTTCATCTCCAAGCTTTTGAAGATCCATTGAGTTATTGGTATACGAGAACCCTACCCCAACCGGTGCTTCCAAGAACAACATATTGGCCTCTACACGGACATTTATTTTTTAATAACGTCACAACTAATATATGTATACATATAGACAAAAAATTAAATGTTTCTATGTGTGGTAAGTTAATTAGTTTACCTTTGTTCCAAGAGAAATTATTGTAGGTAAGTTTGTCACCGTTGGTGTGAACAAGAAAAGGGCCTAGTTCTTGTGCAGCTCCATAGGCTATTGATGAGCAACCCGGTCCTGCATATTAGATTTGAGTTTAAAGTGATGAAATTTTTTTAAAAGTTCCACTATGTAGTAAATTAGTAATACAGTTCACTAGAGAACATTGTTATTTGCAATTCCATCGCTAAACTGTTATTTGTGGCGGTCCTTAAATGTTCCGCAAAAATCCAAAAACATACAACTAAATTTGTCAAGAAAAATAAAAATGAACGAGACTAGCTAGACGCCTAGACGTCAATATATAGTCACGAGTTGTCTATCAAAATTCAAATATCATTATTGTCTACAGAAATTAAATAAGGAGTATAAGTTTTACTATAACTATGAATACATTGGACTTAAAAAAAAAAAAAAAAAAAAAAAAATTGAATACATTGGACTCGTATGTACCCTTCAATCACGCAACTCATTATTAACAAATTCAACCTTTTTGTTGAGACTCCACATTATTGTTAAGAAATAGACAAAGCTTTTTGTTTATTTCTAGATGATAATTAAATATTCAACATCTTATCCAATCTCTAGCCCCAATATAAAAAGGCACGGTCCATATTTCTCGTATCCCTAAATATCCTAATATTGGAATGAACCGTGTGCGGAAAAAGACAAACCGTATAAAGTAAATTCGTTAAATTGAATGAACAACCCGAGGGAAAAAGAAGATACAGACAAAAAAATCTTTAAACACTCTACAAACAAGATTTGGACATTGAATGATACAAGTCCGATATCTGTCAGAGAGCCGGACCATATACGTCTTCGTTGATATTTTACTGATTATGTTGTTTGATTATAGTATAGTAGGTTTCATTTCACTGTATCATAACATAATTTGATTTATTTAAAAAGATTTTTATAGTTTTATGACAAACGTTTTTACTTAATTAGATCGAAGTTTATTTTCATTAAAACTGGTTTCAACTATGGTTTTCAATTTTCACGTTAATAAAAAAAAACATGGACTGGTGGAATCAAAATTCAGTAATTGTTCCGAAGAGGCAAGAACCTACTCGTTCCACCGTACATATTGTTGAAGTGCGTTCCAGAAACGAAATATATAATTAAAGTAGGCAATTAAAATTTGTCGGCATTCCCAACTATCACATTGGTTATCACTTCTCCATCAAGCAATAGTAAAGAAACAAAAATGTTGAATAGTATATATCTGTGTATCAATGAATGGAGTAGATTATTAAGAATAGCGATATATAATTGTACACACTATTTACTACTTTAAGTTTTGGCTTTTTTGTGGACTTAGAAATTTTTGTAAAGAAAAACAAAGAATTGCATCGAAACGACCATATAGTATCTCGTTGTGATATACATTTACATTAACCCGCTTGGTAAGTTAGAAGGCAGAGTAAGGAGACAGATGGAGTTTGGTAGGACAATGTACACAACTTGATGTTTTCTAAAGAGATCTATAAATAAGTAGTAAAACTTTAGTCCAAATTCAATTTTGTATCCAAAAAAATTACTGCCGAAAACATTTATCTATCCTTATGTTTAGAAAAATCTTTGTTTACATTTTTTTTTTTCGTGCAAGTTTTATCTTGTTTTTTCCCTACATCACGGCAATGCCCACGAGCTTGAGAGCTCATTAATCATGATTACATTGATTTTTAGTAAACAAACTTAATCATCACATCATCTGTTTCACAGAAAGTACCATTTACTTTAAACATTAATCTACCGTATTGTTTGGGAAAGAAAAAAAAAAAAATTGTTCTAAAATTTCTCAACGATTTTTCAACAATAAAACCTTACTTATCTCTTCAGAAAAAAACTATCAAAATTTAAATTTATGTCACTACAATATTATATATTAGTGGTACATCTAACTATCTTTTCAATTAATCAATGTGAAAATGTCAATGAAATGGAAGGAACGCAATTTTGCTATATATATTTTTTTAACAACTTGTGAATATTGAAAATCTTGATACACTCACACACCTAAACATTTTTACAAATTAACTTCTCGTAAAGTAAATTTGTAAACAGCACAAAACAGTGAAATTCAACTTTCGATTTAACCTAAGACCAAACTAATGAGATTGCCAGTTACAAACAATGATAAGTTTGCATTATTATTACGTCTTCAAATAAAATTTGTTGTTTTATGTAAATGAGCGAGAGAGATGGAGAGAAACTGACCTCCATTGAGCCAAAGGACGAGAGGACGACGAGAAGAGTTTTGTTGGGCTTCGAAGAACCAATAGAAAAGTGCCTTCTGCTTCTGTTCGGGCCCCAGATTCACGTAACCGGCGTAGTGTTTAAAGTTAACCGGTGGTTGGCCGGGCAAACCGGTTACCAGGTCATCTTCCTTCCTCCCAGAGTATGAAACTGTTACCTTCTTCTCCGGTTTCCTACCACAGGCTATCGCCGGTAACACCAGAATGCACAGTAGCCAAAGTGCGTTCTTCTTCATCGCCAAACGCTTTCTCTTCTCTTTTGTTTTTTGTTCGTTTCAATTATTTATCGAAATGAAGAGTAGTATATGAGAAAACGCCCCCACTTCTTCTACTTTATACTGTTTCTTTTTTTTTTTAATAACAGTCTTTTTTATACTGTCGAAACGAAGAGTAGATGTCGACCGTACTATTTCCTTGTAATGGGCCTTCCACGCTTTTTGTTTATCGATGGTTCATGATGAAAATACAAATTAACAATGCAGTTCATGAAATTATATATTAATATATATCAAAGGCCCGATACTATATTGGGAGGGCCATACGCTTTCTGAGCCCAAATTGTTCGAGGACAATGATCAAATAGTCAAATTGGTCGAGAACAATTATCCTAGGGAACTTCTTAAGAGTCCTAAAAATCACCAGATATATGCATTTAACCTAAAATCAAACAATAACGGTTTCACCGACAGGTAAAATAGTTCATTGTCACTAGTACACAAAAATTCTGGTTATTCGAATGAATGAATATTAATATTACAATTTCCACACATATGTACTGATAAATTAAACAAGTTGTTTGACAAAATAAAATAAAGTGTATACAAAATAAACAAGAACTTAGGTGATCCGTCAGACCGTCACCACGCACCTGTCAACTTCTCTTTTATCCACAATCCTCATATTCTAAAACCCTAATTTTTTAATTAATCCCCACCAAAAGATTCGTCCTTTCAAAAGACCAAAACGAAAACAAGGCAAAACATGAGAAAGCAAGAGCCACACAAATTAAAAGACCGTTAGAAAAGAGCAACGAACTTTTTAGCTCACCAAATCAAACCCAATTTCACATTGAGAGCCAAACACGAAACTTATGCGTCTTGATTCCTTCTTCTCTCAGTTCACATTCTTCACCTACTAATTAACTAACAACTTCATTATTTGTAATCTCTCTTTCTCTTTCTCTCTGCAAAAATTATACACACTCTGTTTCTTTGTTCCCTCTTTGTCACTATGAACCCTACTTCTTCTTCTTATAATCTCACGGCTGCTGCCGTTTTCGTTTCCTCTTCTTGTTTCGGAAGCGACGAGCCTCTGGTTCCTAGGAGGCTGTTTTTCTTGAGAGATGTTCAGATTCTTGAGCTCTTTATTGCCCTTTTAGTGTTTGTGACAATACATTCCTTGCGCCAGAAGAAACATCAAGGGATGCCCGTTTGGCCGTTTCTTGGCATGCTTCCCTCGTTGATTTCCGCGTTCCGAAGCAACATATACGAATGGCTATCTGAGGTTCTTATCAGCCAAAACGGGACATTCCGGTTTAGAGGTCCTTGGTTTAGCACCCTCAACTGCGTTGTTACCTGCGACCCAAGAAACGTTGAGCATCTTCTCAAGACCCGTTTCTCTATCTATCCTAAGGGTTCTTACTTCCGTGAGACCATGCGAGATCTACTCGGAGACGGGATTTTCAACACCGATGAAGAAACGTGGCAACAACAAAGGAAAACAGCAAGTGTCGAGTTCCATTCGGCTAAATTCAGACTGTTAACCAGTCAATCATTGCACGAACTTGTGCATAATCGACTTTTGCCGGTTCTAGAAACTTCCGGCAATATCGATCTTCAAGACATTTTGTTAAGACTAACGTTCGACAATGTATGCATGATTGCTTTTGGGGTCGATCCAGGCTGTCTTAGTCCAAAACTACCCGAAATTCCTTTTGCAAAAGCCTTCGAGGATGCAACAGAAGCAACAGTTGTGAGATTTGTGATGCCTAAATTCGTGTGGAAGCTCATGAGGTCTCTTAATTTAGGAACGGAGAAGAAGCTAAAGAAATCAATAAAAGGTGTGGATGATTTCGCTGAAGAAGTAATCCGGAGGAGGAAGAAACAGATGTCTCTAGAGGCTGAAATCTCGAAGAGACCTGATCTCTTGACTATCTTTATGGGTCTACGAGACCAAAATGGACAGAAATTTTCAGATAAGTTTTTGCGCGATATTTGTGTGAACTTCATACTTGCTGGGAGAGACACTTCCTCCGTGGCTTTAAGCTGGTTTTTCTGGTTAATCGAGAAGAATCCGGAAGTGGAGGAGAAAATCATGATGGGAATTTGCAAGATTCTTGAGCAGAGAGATGATCAGGGAGATGCAAAGAAGAACATGGAATATGAGCCTGTGTTCAGACCAGAAGAGATCAAGAAAATGGATTATCTACAAGCTGCTTTGTCTGAGACTCTCAGATTGTATCCTTCTGTTCCAGTCGATCACAAAGAGGTATCTGCTCTGTTTCACTTACTTGTGTAACTTGTCTCCCAAGAAGTCATTAAGAGTTTGATTTTTGGTTCGTTTTTATTTATTTATTTTCAGTTATTCTGAAAAAAAAATAGTTCTTTTTGTCAAAATTTTGGTTCGGTTATAGTTTTAGGTACGGTTCGAATTTGGAGACAAAATATTATACAAAAATAATTAATTACTTCTAATCGAGTATCAGAGTATAGTAAAACCTAGTTTTGATTAAATGTGAATTTGAAAGTTTTTTTTGATACATTGGTGTGGTATGTTTACATAAAATTCTCTTTCATTCGATTACGGTTATTGAAATATAGCACACATGAGATTTATACGAGTAAAATAATTTGTAGGTACTTGAAGACGATATATTTCCAGATGGGACCAAATTAAAAAAAGGAGAAAAAGTTATATACGCAATATACGCCATGGGACGCATGGAAACAATTTGGGGGAAAGACTGTCGTGAGTTCAAACCAGAAAGGTGGTTAAGAGATGGCCGATACATGAGTGAGTCGGCCTATAAGTTTACGGCCTTCAATGGCGGTCCTCGGCTATGTCTAGGCAAGGATTTTGCGTATTATCAAATGAGATATGTTGCGGCCGCGATTATCTACCGATATAGGGTCAGGGTTGATGATAAGGGAGGTCATAAGGTTGAGCCAAAGATGGCTCTAACTATGTACATGAAGCATGGATTGAAGGTGAATATGGTCAAGAGGAGTGTCTCTGAGATAGACCACTACTACTGCTGAGTGGCTGCCATAAAGGGTATAAAATTGGTGTATATTGATTCATGTTTTGACATTTAATTTATGAAATGTAACAAGTGATTGTTGTTTTTGGGTGGTTTGGTAGTTAAGTTGTTTATATTCTGTGGGGTTTTATAGTAATTAATGGTAACTTGCGACATAATGTATTATTCTACAAAGAGTCCATATTTTTGTCATTTTGTATAGGATTTCTTATATTTTAGTGTCTACATTGAATGTGAGGAATGATATGGATCTCTATGTAGGTCCAGGTTGAAAAAAATTGATACAAGAAGGAATATGTACATATTTCTTATCAGAGAATGTACATAATATATTGGATTATAACTATGACTTTTGCAAAATGCCAAAAAAAAAATCCAGATGAATTCGAAATGGGTCATAAAGAAAACAGCTAAACGAAAATGTCCAATGTAGAAGTTGGAACGTGGGCACTACGATACTTATTTTCTTATATCAAATTTTACTTTGGTTTATTTTATTTATTAATTAAAATTCTCTCAAAGATTAATCGTTTCTTCGTTCTAATCTTAAAACCGTGTTGAATAACGTGGTTCGTTATTGTATATGTTTTTTATTCATAACGTCTGGATTGGTGATGAAAGCGTAATAAAGAAGAAGTTTGTATTTGTCACTATTCTTCAGTATTCAAATTTGTACCGCTAACACTTAGGATATACTACACACTAGCATTTTTCTTCCGCTGAATTAACTCATTAAAACAAATAGGTGGGAAAATTATGACATAATATTAAACTTAATACTTTAATAGTGTATACTCGATTATATACTTCTTTTTCAGCAGTAAATCTCACTTAATATGTACTATACTTTTTGGTTTATGAAGCCTATAGTGATCAAAGTACGAGGGTATAAAAGCCACAAACTGGACCAACCAGATATTGAAAAAAAGAAACTCAGAAACTGGACCAACCAGATATTGAAAAAAAGAAACTCAGAAATAGAAAAAACAGAGCACTCTTCTGTGATCTGTTTTACTATAAGAGGCAGTTAAGCTTTTTTCATACATTGTCATCTCAATATCAAAATATCATTAGCAGCTCGTATTGGTAGTTCATTTGGGCGCACAGGGCGATTCTTTGAATAAACTCGTCTTCAAAAGTATATAGATTTAGTCTAATTATAACATGTTTTAATGTCCAGCGCAAAAAATTAAAGTTATAGACTAAAAGGTATCGACCTTTTTGGTTACAAAAAATATAACAGCACTGATTTTTTAGTAGATAACTCTGCAGAGTCTACAACAACAACAAAAAATTATAAGAAGAAATGATACTATAATCATCCAATATTTATCGGATTTGGAAGAGATCCATATATCGGAATCGCAGTGCATTTGCAAAGAAATTATATTTTCCTATCCTTTTTTTCTTCTATCTTATCTTGTAAAAATTTCTATAGTAATTTTTTTTTGGATACAACTTCTTGTAACTTTAGTCCCGTCCAAGTTTTCTTATTATGATAGTAATTATTTATGTCACCGTGTTATTGCCGTCGATTCTTCGAAACTGTGTCAACAGTGATAAACATTATTTTAATTTAAAAAATAAAAAGAGAGGATAAAACCCAACCGCTCCGAGCGATATTTCAAAGTCTTCGCACGAATGCAACAATTCTCTTTCCTTCAATCCCACTGCAATGGCGAAAACAGAGAAGCGAGTCCCAGAAAGACTCGGATCTTCTTCTTATTTTCTCGGCTGTTTCGGATTTTCCCCGAAAGTATACTCCGACAAGCCGATGGTTACAAAAGAAGACGGTTGTAAGAAGAAGAAGCGAATTAGTCGGTGGTTTTTATGTTCGAAGTTCCGCCTGAAGAACGGCGAGATCAAACCGTCGCCGATCGAGGAAACAGAGAAACCTACTTGGAGAGTAGAAGATGAAACTGATGATAAGCAGAAACCCCTCTCCGTGATACGTCGTACAACTGATCGTAAAAGTATTCCAGTTGATGATAAAGCCATGAATCAGGAAACAAAAGAGGTATCTTTCGTGAAATCTTAAAAGTTAGAGATTCCAGTTGATGATATAACCATTTTCAGACAATTAAATTTCCTTTCATGGTCAAACATGATTTATTCATTATCTTGATTTTTAGAAAATTTGTCATATATATTGTGGATCTTATTTGGTTTTCCCGATGTCGTCACATCGTTTCTTGATTTTTTCCAAATTTTTGTTGATATTTTTCAGACAAAACCTAAGGACTTACGAGACTCCACCCCTGACCGATCAAAACCCATCGAACCGCTAGGTTCCTTCAAAAAAGACACGTGTCCAGAGCGGATATCTAATTCCACCCGTTACTTGAAATCAGACTTGAAACCAACTCGATCAAGAAACGGGTCACGGGTCAAGCCTTTTGACCCGGTAATTGGGATTTCGATAATTATATTGACGTTGATGATTATGTTAGTTTGGGGTCGACTTTGTGCTATTCTGTGTACATCCGCTTGGTGTTACGTCCTACCTCGTGTCAGAGACGCAGCCGCGTTGGCTAAACGCAAACGCAACGGTAGCGATGTAGGGGATTTGAATTCACAGTCTTATAAAAGAAAAGTCGTTTTGGACGGGTTTCTTGGACGGCAAAATCGCGTTTCGTTGTCATGATGATCCTTTCTTTTTGTTTTGTTTTCTATATTATAATGGTTTGGTCATACTTTTTGTTTTCTTTAAAGCAGGGATAAACAGTGTTTCCGTTTAATAACGATGATCGATCGATTGTGAATGGACACATTAAGTATAATATATTGTCTTGTGTTTTTAGAGGTCAATATTTAGCAGCCTATTTTTGTAATCTAGGAATTTTCTTGGTTTTACCAAGTTTGGATTGGTTTGATTGGGATATATAATATTCAGCGATCAGTGATGTCACTTGGTATGAATCAAGGAACACGTGCATGAGTTTCTCTTTTAGGGACCATTTATTTCATTATAAATAAATAAAAGTCCTCTGCGGTAAGTTTTTTTTTTTTTTTTTTTTTCCAAAAGAAATTTCCATTAATAATACCAAATTACAAAGGAGAAACCAAATCATAAAATACAAAGCTTACAGACCTTATCTATTTACCAAACTAAGCTTGGAAAATGTCAAACCAAGTAGATAAGAGAGACTAGGTTGGAGCATTGCGCCCTAGAGAGAGGGTCAAGCTTACACCTAAGAGTATTCTGAATATCCAATATCAAACTCGTCGAAAGACGAGAAAATTGAGAGTGAAGTCTAGAGTTTCTTTATTTCCAAATCGAGTAGATAGAGGTTTGGAAGAAAAGCTTGATAATCGGTGATATGTTTTTGTTGTGGCATGGATCTTTCATCCATCTAAAACCATGTTCCAAAAGAATTGGAGAAGAAACATGAGCTTTAGATGAAAAGAAAGACCAAACTTCAATAGAAAAAACACAATCGAAGAATAGAAGTTGAAGAGTCTCATCAAAGGAGTTGCAGAGGAGACAATATATATATATATATATATATATATATATACTTTTTATGTCGATTTTCTTGGTTGATGTCTCTTCTTCAATATGTATCAACAATAGTTTGCAGACCCGTCTCTATCTCATGGCAACATAGGCATTTGCCATAGGTTCAAAGCCATTTTCAAAAATTTTAGTGAAGAAAAAGAGTTCAAATTTTTTGTTTTTTATTTTTTTTTAAAGAAAGTTTTTTTTTTTTTTTTTAATTTTACCAAGAATCCTTCTATAGATTAAGATGGTACTGATAGTTTGTATTAATATCACATAAACCATGTTTAATTTGTTTTTAACGAACATATATCATACACACCTGAAGTCAGTTCATAAATTTATGATTCTATATGAATATTCTATTCGTAAATCATAATTAAACAAATTCTATAACGTGTTTTATGATCCAATATCTCTGAATCTGACGACACATTTATCTACAGTAACTTTGATGATCTCACCAATTAAATTACAGCAATATACTTTCTTGAAACACCTTGATGTGACTTTACGATGGTGACAAGGTGAGGTAAATACTAAATCAAAATTAATTTGAAGCTACTAATACTATCAGTGAAAATGGAAATTAATAATTTGACGTTAACTTGCTAGCAAAAATGGGAAATCACTGACGTTAAGTTTCAATTTATACAATCCGCTTTTTTTTTTGTTCTCATCACATTTCATTTTGTTTGAACGGCCCAACTAAAGAAAATAGGGTTTTAGCTCATGAGAAGCCCATCTAGAAGTTGGGACTTGTGAGAGTGCATAAAACAGTTTAAAGAAAACATAATGACGCGTCAGAACCTCCGTCTTCTCCTAGTTATACACTAGAAGAAAAAGGATTACGGAGAAAATTTAATTATTTTGAAATTTTGGGGTCCTATATAAATAAATTTAATGGAAATAAATTTAATGATCTCCTCAAAACGTATATGATGATGATACTGTAATAGTTAAAAGGGGAGGGAGAGGAAAAAAGCGGCGACGAGAGAGAGTAAACAAGTCTCTCTGTCGCGTCATCTTTCCGGCGAAAGTTCTCACCTTTTTGCCCTAAATCTCACCGTCACTCTTCCACTTTCTTTCTTTCTCAACCGATTCAACTCCTTCATCTCACTCGTTTCCTCGCCATCACTCGTTACGGTCCAGTTTCTCTACGACGGGTGTGGGAAATTTTTTGCCGTTGAAGAGTTGGAGTTTCTTATTGATTCTCGGGTTTTGTTTGGAATTGGTGATTCTGTTCGGTGTTTCTATCTGAGCTGAAGATTAGGGTTTCGTAGCCAGGTTAGCCAATGGCTCCTGGGCGTAAAAGAGGAGCGAACAAAGCCATGGCCATAGGAGCGCTGAGATTGGGTGATCTCGTTCTTGCTAAAGTCAAAGGCTTCCCTGCTTGGCCTGCTAAGGTATGTGTCCTGCACTCTCTCGGCTTCATGACGCTTTGATTCATGATCCTGATTTTTCGTTTTGGTCTTGCAAATATTCTTGTTTGCCTCTTCATAGACATTCAACGCTGCGTTTCCTCCTTGAATGTCTCACCTTAGTAGGCTTTTGTAATGAGGCCAAAGCAAACTCTTTTTTGTGCTGAAATTGAGTGAAGTTTGGAGCCAGTAGTATATCTCTTATGTTCAGAGCATTGAATTTGTTTGATGTGCTTTTAACTGTTGATTGAACTGCGTGGGATTGTTCATTTTGACTGTCAACTAATTGGTTTTGCGTTTCAGATCGGCCAGCCTGAAGATTGGAATCAAGCACCAGACCCAAAGAAACACTTTGTTCAGTTTTTCGGAACACAGGAAATGTAAGCCGGCCTCTTCTCTGTTTACTGTTAGTTGCCAGATGTTTTTTATCATGACCCAGAAAGCTATAATGCATTTTTTGTCTAGTCAATTGTAATCAGGCAGTTCCCTCCCTGATGACAACAACTCTTCTTTGTTTTTCCTTGTTATTGGAGTGTGATTTTGTTTACTCAACATTAGTTGTGACCAAGTTATCTTCCTCTAATGCAGAGGTTTTGTTGCGCCACCTGATATTCAACCCTTCACTAGCGAGGCAAAGAATAAACTATTAGCAAGATGTCAAGGTAAAACAGTCAAGTACTTTTCACAAGCCGTGGAGGAAATCTCTGTTGCGTTTGAAGAGGCGCAGAATCACAAGTCAGATATAGTAGGCAATGAGGCTCTTTTGAATGCTGTTGAACCTAGTGTGACGAAGCCTAAGATATTGAATCAAGCTAGTAGTGATGGAAAATCTGATAAGTTTGATTCTAGGGCGGATCCTTGTCTCGGTAAATTAGTTGAAAATAATGGTGCAGAGAAAAAGCCTGATATAGGAGATCAGAATCTATCGAAATCAAATAACAGAACCACATCCCCAAGTAGTGAGCCACTGGAGCATGGATCACCTGACCCTATTTTAATGGTAGCAGTTGTTGATAAAATTGACGGTGTCACTTGCACTGACCATAGTGATGGTACTGGAAAGAATTCGGTCAATGATCAGAGGATAATCAGGAAGATAACAGGTGACTCGAATAAAGATGAGTTTAGAGCCAAAAGTGTACCTGATAGTCGAGCTGCTACAGACAATCATCTCCTTGGTCCTAATCAGAAATTAAAGGGCAGTAAAAAGGGACAAGATCATAGTAGTAGAAAAGAATCTTTTGATAACATTGCCAGTTCTAAAAAGCCAAAAGAATTGCTGAAAGAGAAACCTGTGAAGAAAAAGAGATTTGAAAGTGAACTAGGAAAGTCTGCATCAGGAGCAGATGAAAGTAAACGTGCTGCTAAGAGGCCACGTTCTGAAGATGCGAAAGATCAAAAGCAATGTGAGAGCAACCGTCTTCTTCCTGTTGGTGAAGGCAAGGCTGAAGGTTCTGATTCTACTGGCGTTGTATCAATTCTAAAGCGTGAGATTGTGTTAGGGATAAGTGCCCTGGGAGGAAAAAATCAATTTGATAAGGACATGGTCGCTTATACAAAGCGCCGGAAACAGACAGTGGAGCACACAAGTGTTTCCTCTTTTTCTGGGTCTCTCGTTAAAGAGAGGACAAATCACCAACAGAAGATAAGTTCATCTTCTGATAGCGATGTGAAGGTTCAAGCTGCTCAGCTGCCGAAGAGACGGAGGTCGGTATGTATCTATGACGATGATGATGATGATGAAGACCCAAAGACTCCAGTGCATGGAGGACATACCGATATTCCCAAAGCTAATTTAGCTTCTACTGATGGTCCTAAAAGTACTAATGCGTCCCATAATACTTCTATTAAAGCAAAGCTATTAGCTGGATCTGCAGAAAGTGCGAAAACAGGGAAAGTACCTCTGTATAAACATAGCAAGGATGCTTCACTTGCACTACCTGATAGGGTGGAAGGGTATAACTCGCCTATGGGAAAACCTGTCAAGGCGTTGCTCCCAAAGAATATCAAGCGGATCTTGAGATCTCCTAAGAATTCCTATCAGCTGGATTCATTTATGAAACAGGTGACAGGACAAAATAAAACTGCAAAAGTCTCTGGTGCAGGAATGCCAGATAGCGTGGAGGGCCCTTCAAACAGCTCCTCTATGGGAAAACCAGTCATCAAGTTACCTCCACAGAATGTCAAGCAGATCTTGAGATCTCCTAAGAAGTCCCCTCAGTTGTTTTCAACTAAGGAGCTGGTGGCAGGACAGAATAAAATTGCAAAAGTCTCTGGTGCGGGGATGCCAAAAAAATATCAAGGTGATTCTTCCAAGGACGCAGCGGCTGGTTCTGATAGAGTAAGCTCTTCTCATTCTCAGACAGCAAATCAGAGAAGCAAACCAGCTTTTGGGGAAAAGCCAACAGGCACTCCGAAAGTTGCAACTCGCAGTCGTCTGGACGATGTTGATGTGTCAAGGGACACTTCTGTGAACTTGTCTGCTGACGTGTATATTTTTTTGTCTTTTCCTATGTCATTGATATGTTCGTATTTTGCTTGGAGGTTATAGTCTTATGTGTTTTTTGTTATCACAGGATTGATGTCAATCAAGAAAATGGAAGCGCCCCATTGATCAGTTTTGGGATGCCAGATTCTTCATCATCTATGAAGGATCTAATTGCAGCTGCCCAAGCAAAAAGAAAACAAGCACATTCACATACTTCACCGTTTGTGAATCTAGACCATAATTCCCTTACCATCGATTCAATGCAGCCGAGCCAAAGCCCTTTCATGGTTCAAAATGTTTCATCTTCTGCTGGCGATGCCATGCTGATTGTTGCTCTGGAACATCAAGAAGATTCGACTCTGTCAAATCATGGCCGCCAGTCCTCATCAAGTAGCCAAGCTGGGACTGAAGAGAATGAAGAGAGAAGGTTTAGTTCAGGGCATAGGTCAGGTGGTGGTTCACTGAGTGGTGCCACTGAGGCTGCGATAACTCGAGATACT